TGTGCCTCACCTTGCTTCCATACACTTGCACCTGCCTGGCACAAATCTTCTCCGTGAATGCGACCATAGTGAACGAAGCGGTCTGCCCCCCATCAAACTGGAAGTTTACAACCTGAAAATATGAACCCAAACGATAGTCAGGTACTAGTAAATTCGAATACTTAAACAATAAGAGTTAAAGTATCGCGTACAGCCATATAACTAACCGACGTTAATGACCAGTTATTAAAAAAGTTTTAAAAACATGCATCTTACACACGTGCTCATCATAAGTAAATGATAGAATAGGCCTACCAGAACGTGCATGTTCACATGGTTTATTATATCTGACCAACTGCTGGAGCCAAAAGGGCCTTAGTTCAAGTTGTATTGTAAGTGCAGTTTACCTGGTTGGACATAACATCGTTGTCACAGTCGTAGACACATCTCCCATACGGTCCAGTCTTCAAAGCCTCGGTGACACTTTCTATGTCAGGGACATCAGTGATGACAGACACTGGCCAGCGAGTGTTGCCCTGGAAATAATGTTATTTGTTATTACCAGTACATCTTTAACACGCACGCATGCAATTCGCACACGCGCGCGCGCACACACGCTCACACACACAGTGACGCATTCACTTTTTTTTAAATCTCTGCTGGTAATCGCTACCTTTCGTAATCTAGTAATCTTTATGACAATGGCTAACAAGTATTAAAAATTCAACCAAGAAGATTATCTCCGTGGATTTTTACTAACCTGTTTAACCATTTCGTCTAGGTAGAGTTTCTTGGCCGAATACGGACACGAGTTCTCTATTGAGCAGTCCATGCATCTTGACGATGCTCCCTGAGGCTGAGTACATAGTTTAGACAATAAGATTAATATACATGTGCAGTGCTTTTTGATGCGAATAAATGGCTAATTTGACATGGTTGTTATATGAGAAATTAACTACTAAAGTTATTTACTTAATAAATACAAGAAAGTGTTCTTTTGACAGACTTTCAGTTTATTCAGTTTATTCAAAAGTAGACCATACGAGTAGACCCTGTATACAGCTTAATTGAACTTGACGTTTGGAAAAATATATATCAATACTCAATTCGGTTACGAACTAATTACAAATAGGTACAAAATGCGTTCACAAATAGGTTAATTCTTTCTCATACCATCTGCGGTAATTGCGTTTTGTATCTGTATGAATAAAATAATCTCACCAGAAAAAAACATCTGTTAAACAAGCCTACGTTACTTAGTATTATAATCCGTTTATGTTTGGTTCCATTCACCTTATTTTCTTTGGTAAAATGCATCAGGCTCCCCATAGATGAGATCCTGGAGACCTTTGCCGGATGCATCCAAAAATTCAGTAGGTCAAGATCATGGCAGGATTTAGCCAATAAGGAGAAAGAGCTCTGGCGTTCATTTCTCCAGTTTCCACGGACATACGAATGGGCAAAGTGCCAAAACCCTACCTGGAAATGTTGTTTTAATTGGGCTTAGAAGAAAGCATAGATGTAAAGAAAAAAGTATAAAAACGGGTTTCAACCGAGTTCTGGATGCAGCCAGCAAAGGTTTGTCAGGAGAGTTTTTTTTTTTTTTTTTGCCTCTAACAAAGAACCTTTAAAAACGCGTCTAATCAGCATGAACATAATACAAAATATGCAAATTCCACTTTCAGAATATCTCATCCAAATTTTTAATTTTGAGACTGTGCGATATCCAAAAATTGCAGATAAATGACAGGGAGTGAATGGATCAGCAAAAACGAAAAAAATAAGTAGAAATATCAAAATATCTCAATATGTACAGAGTTGGGTTCTTCTCACCTTATTTTTTCTATTAAAATGCATACAACTTCCAAATGAGGAAACCCTGACACATTTTGCTGGCAGCATCCAAGACATAATTAGGTCAAGGTCGTGACAGGATTTAGCCAATAGGGAGAACGTGCTCGTGCTTTCGTTTCTCCAGTTACCTCGCACGAAGGAGTGGGCAAAATGCCAAAACCCTACCTACATTATTGTAATACACATTTAACAGGGAACCTTATTAACATACCATACAGTATATACTAGAGGTTGAACAAAGCCTGTGTAAAAAGAAACTATAAAATTGGATCATAAAGTGCCGGACATACAAAATGTATGTAACAGCAAAGACACAACTGGATTTATTCTTTGTATTCATTAAAAAGGCTAAACACTGAACATATCTAAAGAAACCCAAAGTAAAATTGTTAGAAAAATACTGGCTGGTGACATATACTTTAGATTTAATTACTATAATAACCATATCGTTTTGAATTTAAGTCAATTTATTATTTCAAATTGCATGACGTAGGCTACATGTATACTATATATGTAGAATTGGAAATGTTTAAAGCTAAAATGCATTTTACACACTATTTCTACGAGATTCTAGGAACTAACTCACAGGTTCCAGGAGCTGCAGGTGTGTGACCTCTCCAATCACTCCGCTGTCGATGATTTCTTTGATTTTCCTAGCAGTCAACGTGTATCTTAACACGTGACACACGGCTAGCATTACCCCGGCCTGTTTACATGTCTCCACGATCTCTATACAGTCTTGCTCAGTTGTCTGAATTTTTGAATAATTTTGATAAATAAATAAAGGGGTGCTATTTCAGTAAAGGTATAAAGGCAATACTGTATCTGAGTACGCCTACATTTCTCTCAGAATTACCACAAATCCGCTGATTGTGAAAACTGAGTGAAGATTTTTATACATAGGGGCCCCTTTCTAGATTTATAGTCGTGCTTAACAAAAAATGACAGTCTTCATAAAATTGTTTTTTGGTGTAGGTTGTTTGCAATTGTACATGAATTCATGTTTTAAGCGAAAAGATTCTATAAAATTTATTGGTATTTTTATGGGCTAACTGAGAGCGCCATAAAATGATACTGAAATTAATAACAACAAAACGCGTTCTGTTTTGTTGCAATCTTGGACGAACAAAGCAAATACCAGCCCAAGTCGCAATGTATCACTTACCGCCATGGGTTTCTCTAACAGAATGTGATATCCCTTCTTAGCTAGTGCAACAACAGGCTCCTGTGAAAGCATTTTAAATCAATTGATTTTACATTTCTGAAAATATATTCCGGATAAACATCTGAACCAACAAACAACAACAAGTATACTTACGCATATCAAGTAACGCACCTGTAGGGTATTTACTGTATCTTTTGTAATAACGTAAGCTTGCACATATCACGCTATAAAATATACCATATTATGATTTATGGACGTCTGTAGAAAATGTTCACTTTTTGCATTCAGTATATCATTTGCCCACCTTATGCAATTGATCAGGAGTTGCAATAATCGCTAAATCAGCCATTTTGGGAATTTTGAGCAACTCCTTCCAATCTGAAATGACGTGAAATTATACTTAATCCAGAGAGAGAGAGAGAGAGAGAGAGAGAGATTTGGTTAACACACAAAATCCGATGTCAAGCCTATTTCCATCGCCTGTGACAAGATAATGGTATATAGGGGAAGGCGGGGCTAGTGCGCCTTTTTTTTTAATTAGATAGAAGGTAAACTGTTGTTTTCAGTTTTCCTGATTTTTAGAAGGAAGTTCATTCTCTATTTTTGGTACATGTTTGGGAAGTGCGTTGTTGTTGTTTTCACAGAAATGTCCATTTTAAAATGTCTAGACAAAGTGTGCGAACTTGCTCCACCCCTAAAATCCAAAAGTAAAATATACTTTTATCAATTTCTATACATTTTACTTGATAAAAACTGAATAGCAGAAGCAACTTTGCAGTCATTTTTTATTTTATTACGCTTGCACGTAATAAAATAAATGCACGTGACCTCTCAAAAAGGCGTAGGGCGAGATTCATCGTTTTGCTTTTGAGATAAAGGGTGTGTGTGGACTGGCCTCGGGCGGACAAGTCTAGCCTTCCCCTATAATAATATATAGGTAATTTATATTTTTTATGTGTGTACATTTTTTATGTGGTTACATTGTGTGTAAGAGTACTAAGTAAGTTACGCCGGTTGCTCGAATACAGATTAATGTTACCTGAGAAGACAGCAGTGTCCGGTATTCCATACGTCTGTTGCATTTTCGTCCTATAAAACACCCTTGGTTCTGCCACTCCAACAACCTTTCAGCAGGCAAAGTAAAATAACAAAATTTATATTTACAATATACCCGCATGCCGCGCGCTTCATCTCATCAAGCACATATGTCGGCTAGACGGTTTGAGATCGTTGTTCTATTTAAAAACAATACATAACGATTATCTAGGAGTGAAACTGCACAGTTAAGATCCCAAAAGACGTGTTTTGAATTCAGTTTTGCCAAGCGATAGACATTAGCCTCATTCACTTTAAGTTAAAAATGACGGTGTATTCCACACAATTACTTAAAAGTTATAGTTAAAACTGCCATATCTTTACAAGAATAAAATCATGGAGATCTTCTTAATTCGTGAAAGCTATTTTCATTTGTTCTGAAACCAGTTAAAATCAATTAGACACCTTTGTCTTAAAATAGTCAGTCCTGAATGCATACCAGGGGAACGGTCCATGTCACTAAAGAGAGGTTTTTCTTTTAAAAACGGGATAGAATGACGGAAACAAATATGATCGTTAAGTACCAATTTAAGGCCACGTGTGCGTAAGACAACAAACCTTCAGTTTTTCCGGAAATTCATCCGCAAATTCGGCATAATTTTGCCCCCTATTGCCTGCTCCAACGATGACAGCTGTTACTTGTTTCATGGTTGCCTGCTAGCTGTCTCCAGGGCCTAGCCTCGTTTTCAGGAATCTTCCTTCAGGAATGGAGCTCGAGTGGGTCAACTGCCAAGGGTGCCCTGTCAACCTATGTTGTCACAGCCAGGTGATACCAGTGTCGCGGCAAGAGGATCTGTACTCCAGCGGTGGTGCGTGAACGCCAACCTGGCACCTGATAAATAGGTCATTTGGAATATTCTTAAAACGCCATCTCGATAAATTCCCCCGAGAACCAAATCTTAGTCGAATTGTGACTAAGCTTTCTTAGTCAAAAGAGCTTAATAAAATATCTAAAAACTACCCCTGTAAAATCTCAATAAATCAACTATGGTAATAACTGCGCTGTCAATCTCCATTCACAACAGCAGAGCAGTATATTTCAAAAAAGAAATAAGCCATAGTTCTACAATTTTTTTATATTCTTCTTCATTTAAAGATGCATACAAAAACCACAAAAACCGACCAAATGCCAGCATATAGTTTCAAGTAGTATAACTAAGAGAATTACCAAAAGGCATTGTTTAATTTTACCCTAAAGTGATGTTTGAACAGATTTTTCTGCTAGCATCCTATGCTGTATTTCAATGGGACAGAAAAGTAGGTCATGAAAGTAGGTTAAATTTCCGACCAAAAATTTACAGAAAGGAGCAGTCTAAAGCTCATTTATGGCTGATTGAGTGATCTATTTAGTTTATCCTTTGGCATGTCGAATTTATTTGAGCCATATAAGAAACTAGTAAAAGTGGTTTACATGTGTTACTGGGAATCCACGCTCCACCGATGCTCGGTTCGTATGTACCTTTAAGCAGAAGAGAAAAGCGATTCATTCTTCGACCAATTATGTCATTTCTTCAGTGCACATTACGCCATCAGCCCATGCGGAAAGCACGCATTCGTTATTAACCGCTTCAAATAATACTGGTACTGCCTTCTGTCCTACGTTACCAACCTCATAAATTTTAAATATGGATAAGAAGGCACTGATATATTTGTACTCTTTTCCACGATTGCATTACGGTGCAGATCAAAATAAATTAATCCGAGTAGCTATGGCAACTGAAAATAAGCACCATACTTGACATTTGGAAATGTTATTTTCAGGGGAATGTGTATTAATGTACCTTTGACAATATTTAAAATTATCTAAAATATAGCGAACATGCTTGGTTATACAATGCAAAAATTGAAACGCTTTTTGAATGGTTTTTCGCTATGTAAACAAACGTTAATTGTTCTTCATACCTTATGGTACTATGCTTCAGAGATATTATTCTCCCATTCTGAACTCATTGAATTCAGAATTGATGAACCCGCATAAATCCTTCATAGACCACGGTAAAATAGAAGTAACAAATTTTTTTTACGTTTAAACATAAACAGATAGACCCATTATTATCATTATTGCAACAATCTTTCCGCAATCTCTGCATTAATTAAAAAAAGCCGGATCACAGAGGCTTCGATGGTTACAACAAAGCATCCACTTCTTAAATAAAAACCAATACGAGTTTTGTATAAACCCTACTATACGCGGTCATAATTAAGTATTTATGAGTTAATGAAGTAAACAGGTCATACATCTGTTGTAGATGGAGCTTTGACAAGGGCATAACCATAAAACACACATACGAAAGTTTGCAACGGCAGATGTGGAAGCTCAACATGCAGGCAGTTCGTTCTCACCTAAAGAACGCACGGTGAGTAGAACGCCTTATGCATACATTCTTGATTGTACGTACTGTATTTTAAAAATGGAATGTAGTTTAAAGGGCTTTGCTTTCTTTCTGGGGCGATTTCCTAACCTTTTAAGCTTTAACCTTTTAACCTACAAGGACCTCTGCACATCCAGCGTTATATCTCAGCAATGCAGATGCATCGGTATGATTTGAAAGATTGGCACCTAAAATAGCCCTCTGCATGCATTATGTAATGTTATTTGAAATTTTGAGACGAAAATATTTCACTACATTCATTCTAAGCTTAACAATTTTCATTCAGACACAAGATCGCGCCAAAATGCCCGGTTGCCAAAATAGCGAAACTTAGCTACATTCCAGTTGTGTTCATCGTGACCTTCGTGCTAGGGCTGTTTTACCAGAGAGACCTTCTTGTCGAAACACAGTCCGGAAACACCCATCCCGGAAGAAGGTTCAGTGATGTTCATCTCACATTTAGAGTTCATATATTATTTCCCTAAATAACGGAGGTTATGTATAGAAATATCCTCTCATGAACCCGTTAAAATATTGAGCATTTGTATAAATACAATTATAGATAACTTACAGAAATGAAGAGAATTGAAATATTTGGAACTGACCAATTTTAGTGACTTTTTACGATCATATTAATACGCCTTTGGCATAGGTCTACTACACGTCAGTACACGAGCCAATGGTGATACTTCCGTTTAAATTTTGGACCCTTAAACACTTTAAAAAGCACGCCACTTAAAGTAGGGGTTATATGGAAGGTTGTTGAGGGCATAATGGTACCGTTGTGTAAATCATTTTTCCACAGTGTTAACCGTCCAATAGACCGACAGACCAAGGATCCCTTCTTAAATAGCGACTTCAACTTGGAGTCAATTCCGCCATCTTGGGTCAACGAAATGAAAGCAAGACGTTCGCATCTTCTTCAACAATGCCAGGCCATGAAAGATGAATGGACCTCGCGTTTTACTAACCAAGACGGTGTCTCTGACGAACTGGTCTCTTTCCCTGCCCCTCCTTTGTCTAAATTTGGGGGCCCAATTGGGTACCTAACGTATGTCGACCAGAAGCATAAATTCCTCTTTTGCGGGGTACCAAAAGTGGCCATTATGAACTGGAGGGTGGTTTTCCTGCAGTTATCCAGTAAACACCTTTCCGCTCAGAGTTTAATGGACATCATCCAAAGTTCTGATTCGTGGGAAGAAGACATCCCAAAAATTGAGGGCAAACTCGACGGCCGCCATGATGGTTTTCTCAAAGTAATGTTTGTTCGACATCCGTTTGAAAGACTCCTCCACGATGACGAAGCAACTTTTGAGAACTTCGTGAAGCGTGTTATAAGCTCCTACGATCCGAAATCGCGTTCTCTGAAAACAATTCCGGGGCACATCCACTGGGGGGAGATGTACCAGCTGTGTGATCCGTGCAACGTGAGGTATGACATCATAGGACATTACGACACCCTGACGGAGGATGCGTCAAACGTGCTGAAATTGCTTGGAACAAACGTCACATTCCCCAGCGAAGAGTTTATTGAGAGCTACCGAAAGGGTAACAGACACGGCTATGGGAACACCCAACAAATGATGGCGCAAGCTTTGAGGAAACTCTCTGAAGAAGATCGCAGAATATTGAGTGAAATTTTCAAGGTAGATGGTAGACTCTTCGGTTTTAATGTTAACATGACTGTTATGCCTTATTAATGTAGTGTTTTCGCGTGCCATGAATAAACGTTTATCGTGCCATTATTAATGTAACGACAATGTTTCACATTTTCAATTAATTAAGATTAATTAGAAATTAACAAAATTGATTAAATTAATCAAAACCACTTATTCTTAACTTAAAACTCAAGATGTGGAGATATTGTTATGAAAGCTTGTACTTGATAACGTAGGCCCACATTTTGGGCCATATTCTACACCTTAAATTCTGGTGAATACAAATAACCAAACATTTTAATTTTTAAAGAATCTGTAGTCAAGTTAAGTTAAACTATTGTAGCAGTATATGACGGTAAAGATAAAGGGAGTAGTATCACTTTACCCTATAGTCAATGTGATGCACAGGTTAAGACATACAAATTGTATTAGAATACAAAAAAGGAGACCGTTTAAGAGTTTTTTGGATTTGTGTTAAATAAGGAGCACCCAAAAGCATGAAAATCATCTTCGCTCTCATTTCAAGGATTCAGGGAAATATGAAGGTAGCATGTTCAAGAATTCCCAATGATTTTTTAAAGTAAATGCAAAGAGGATACATTTCTTGTATCACAGTATTTAAACTTGACCGTTTAAGGTAAATTATCGAAAACGCGATTAAATTCCGTTTTATTTTTACAGTTTGTCTTTAGTGTCGTAAGTGAAAATCAACCTTGATTTAACCTTTATGAATGGCCAATTGCTGCAACTTCATTGTTAACTACACTTGAAAGAATTGTGTGTGTGATATACAAGATATCCTTAAATACTTTGTCAAATATGAAGCATCGAATAATTGCTAATAAACATTTGGTAAGCATAACATTGTAGAATTTTAGTTCTTTTCTCTCTCCTCGTCTGCAGACCACCAGTATATCACAAATCAAGAACTAATCATTTATTTCTACCAGTATTATCTGTTTATCCAAAATTTGCCTATATATATATATATATATATTGTATATATAGAGATCAATACATTCATTCATTTGTGTAATATATATATATATATATATATATATATATTTATATCGTTTTTTCCTTCACACAATCGAGTACTCAATTATTATCAACCATCCGTCCATCAAACACTTAATTTTCCTCATTCTCTAAACATTTTTCAGTTCAATACCTTTTCACTTTCAGTAAGTAAATGAACCTGTCTTTATAAATTGTGTGGATGACAAATCAATTCTTTGCGCCCTTTATTTTCAGGATGCCCCCTGTACTTTATCAATAGGATAAAAAAAATCGAACCCAAACAGACCCCCTCCACGTACTGCTGATAAGATACTTGGCTATGTCAACCCTACAAAAGCAAAATAAGACACCAAGTCCGACGGTAAGGGGGGTTCGGGGAGGGGGAGTCGAACGAACCTGCATCTTGGCTGGAAAAGGTCCGCTCTGAACCAAAATTTGACTTAATTTAGATTCTATGCCATTTCTTAAAATGAGCCGACAGAGACAGTAAAAAGGTTTACTTTTTCAATAAAAGGAATATATATATTATTTTTTTCTTTTTTTTTTTAATTGCTGGCCACAGACTTGGTCGTGCTGTATATTCGTGACATGTTATCTACAAGAAAGGTCGACCTTGTTTCACCTTTAACAGAACTACGTGAATACACCACACGTGCTTTATGGCTGCTACTGCTGGATGCCGAGACACAAATCATATGGCAAAACCACTCTAATATTCAGGGTGCCAGGCTAGGACATAAATTATAAACCGGGATCAAACATCCACCCGTATATTCGAATACTAAGTTCGTTTTTTTTTTTTTTTTTTTTTTTTTTTTTTTTTTTTTTAGTTAAGGGGGAAAATATTTGATAAAGAAATTATAGTATCTTTGTGACCACCATTGTCTATGTTTTCCTTTCTTTGTTCGCTGGGTAGGAGAGGGTGGTCTAGACAGCTTAACCCAGTAGCCTACAGAAAGGCTGCACACACTCCCCCAAACCCACATTTTAGTTAATAATAAAAGTCAAAGTATGATAAAATCTAGACCAAGGACACACAGGCAAAAAGTGATGACAGTTTCATGTCGACACTAACTACCTGTGTTTAAATAGTTTGTTACCGAGTGGAAGGGAGGTTATTCCTCAGTTCATCCCTCCACCCCACCCCTCATGCAAAATGTAACCACAGATGCGCATGCGTACACTTTACTAGTACGCCCATGCAGGTGCACTACGCTCCTCCGCAACTCCTGGTACACGGTACCATAGTAGGCCTATAGGTAGGCCTACTATTAAATGCTATGGGACCTCTTTAGCATGTTACCCACCTCCAGAGGCTGAGAGTTAGAAAAGGCATCAGAAAATAATGTGAGGGTAGATCTACAAATGTATGTACATGAACATGCAAAGTAAAACAAATAGGGAAGGTAATAGTCTAGAGTACATGTACATGTACATGGATTAAATGAGACGACAGCTAAGTAGGCCCTAACTGTCCTAACCTTTTAAAGTAGAAAACAGTGTGTGGAATTTTCTCATACTGTTTACACCAACTAAACATATGGCCCGATCTCATTAAAAAATCATGCGTACCTGTTTATATCCAGACCTGCAGTGACAGTGACATGTATATATGGACACGTACTAAAAGCTGACACCACACGGAAGTAGCTGGTCGTGATAGTAAAAAGCGTACATTTTCTGTCCTCCGCAGCATAGAGAGCTGCACGTGTGGTACGTGTCAATGATCATAATACGTGTCGTAACATAACCATTGCTTATTTTGTGATCGATCATACGTATTGTCCAATGAGCAGTATGCTTCCTCGTAAAATTTGTGCCCAGTGAAATAGATTAGGAATAAAATCGACAGAAACAGAATTTTAAAAAGATATTTTTATTGTCATTTTAGGCCTATACCCTCTCCCACATTCATTGCTGATTCATAAGCAGCTTTGGGAGCGGGAATCATTTTTCTGGGTTAGATCATTGACTTTTTCATAAATATTATCCATGCAGACGTACCGTGCTGTACATATCTCATGTTTCAACAATAGAAACATCATTACAAGGCATACTATTCCGAATAATATACAGGGGAGTAGACTATAATTATAGACACATTTAGCGCTAGAGGTACCCAAACACTTTTAGAACAAACAACGCGTTATAAAAATATGAAGACAAATACAAAATGTGGAATGCAGCATGATATGGGCCTTATTCGAACTATGTTGTCCCCTATCTAGCTGTTGACATACAGGTAGCTAGCTGTTGTGCAAACGACAGAGCAGAAATATGCAAACTAGTGTACAGTCATAGAAATAGCTGAAAATAAGGGCGCATTCCCATGGATTTTAGATCGATCTATCCCCGAGGGGAGTCTCACTAGATTACTGTCAGATAATCCGGCTTAAATGTCCGTCCCGCCTACTACAAGCTATAAGGGGGTAATTAAATTTCGTGCCCGCTCGGCTGACAGCTATTTAGCGTGAACCCCCAGGGAGTTAGGTCGATCTAGTTGGATCGATCTAATCTCTGGAAATGGGGTCTAATTCTCTCTAGCGCCCTGATAGCACACAAGTAGCGATGATGGAGTGAGCACTGGAGTTGAAAAATAAACGATAAAATATTTATTGGATTAGGATCGAAGTTAACTCAGTAAAGCTAAGTACCCAATCAAATCAAAATAGTGTATTGATTAAAGCGAATTTACTGATATGTATCGGTAGTTGAAATACTATGAATAATTCCTAAATAATTGACTGTGGGCTATAATATGACTTGAATATTGTTGTCATAATAACATTTTCTTCCTAATACTTTAAACATTCATACAAATTGTATAAAAATATTAAATGATTAATTTTCTATCCCTTGAATAACTTAACTATTGAGATAACACAAACTTGTAACTTAAACCCGTGTATATAAGCTCTAAATAATTCACTCTATATAAACAATCAGACTGATCTTACTTAGTCTCTAAGTAAAGTATATTTCTAATTTACAATCAAAAAGTGGTCGATGATTCACTATCATATTTGTTTCTCACTCCGTTGGTCGCGTCGAACGTCTGGATCTCGTGGTTCACGCTGCGGTTTCCTTTTCCTCGCGGAAGGTCCTTGTACCAGCAGTATGCGCAGCACTGGCAGCAGGAGAAGGAGAGGAGGCACACTATCCACAGCAATATCACACACAGGACGAGCAGGATTCCTGCACTCACACCCAGGACGTAGAGAGCAATGTGGGCCTGAAATGTGAATATTGGAAAATTACGTCTGTGTCTGCTCCTGAACGAGATTTACTCCTGAAACCTCCTTCATTATTCTCTTTATTTATTTATTTATTTATTTATTTATTATAATTTAAATATTATTATTATTATTATTATTATTTTTATTATTCTTTTTTGTTTCTCTGGATGTGCTCATGAGTAATGTTTGAAAAATAGTGTTTAGTCTTGCGTGGAGCGTGGTTAGAAAAATTAAGCTTCCCGTTTCTTGGCGAGTTTTGTCTTTTTTTAAGCGGGACGGGGGGGGGGGGGGCGGTATAATTTGTCGGAAAATTAAATCGACCCTTGATCAAATTTCAATCCCAATCATTAATCAAAGACAAAATGTGAACTAAAAATCTGTCATCTACTCAAGGTATATCATATGAAGAGGCACCCATCACGGGGGGGGGGGGGG